TAGTCGTTTGATAAAGGTTAAACTTTTTTTGTGGAATCCTTTTTTTGTTGTTTTATTTCTTGAATTTTGACAAACAAAATTTTTTTCCCTTGCGTTATACAGTATGTATTCATATTGTATGTTGCAATTAAGATGCCTGTAAAAAAATGCAATAAATTTCAAATTTTTGAACTGTACCGCAGTACATATCAATGTCTAAAAACAGTTCTGACTTGATAGCGATATAGATTCCAACTACAGTTTGTGCTTCTGAGTTTCAAACAGCCGCTTACACAGGAGGACAGCAGTAAGATTTACCTTAGTTTGCTTCAATCCTACAACACAACTTTTGCTCCCTCACTTGTCATTCTGCAAAAAAGCATCGGACGCACATTAGTTTTAGGATCAATAACTGAAAACTTTTGTTTTTCTAAACATCGATCCGGAAAAAAATTCAAGCAACCTCTTATCATCTTTCACAAAGTCCCATGTCCCTTAGTTGACGTTTCAGACAATGAGTCTCTACTGTCCCCGCAAGATAGACCACATATCTGACCATTTAGGGCCAATGATCTTTAAAATTATTACAAGACATTGGGGGAAGCCAAAATTTTAAGAATTAATCTTTTAGTTGAAACAAACCTTTCTCTAGCCGAAACTTATGCATACTCCACACTGACCACAGTGTCTCCGCTTACCCATATATTAAGACTTACAAGACAGTGGTTTGCTAATCATCAGGAAATTTTTTATATACAATTCTTTATGCGTGCATTACAAGAGGGCCACCAGCATCAAGACTCAGCATACTAAGCCATGGTCAGTGAACAACTTTTCCTTTTACCACACACCTCAGCAGATTCCCCGAGATTACCATCACATCATTACTTTTAAAGAAATGGGGCGGATATACAGACTTAAGACACTTTTTAATTGACCCAAGCCTTAGTAGTCGCAAAGAAGAGCAAAATGGTCCTTCAAATACTAATGAACCCAACTTACGACTTCAGCTTCAAGACAAGCTTGGCGCTAGTGTTCGTAGATGTTAGCGCATCGGTCCATACTAGTTTGAACACTGCAGAAGTGTAGCTATACGTAAATTCTGATTTCTTTGTTCCAGTTAATCAGAATAAAAGGTTATTGATCAAGAAGTTCCGGTATTTATACTTGAATTACTACTCCTTTCCAATTAATGACCACTGTTTAGAATGAATGATGAATCTTCGGGAGCGGAACGTTCATCCAGTTCTCTCTCACTTATGCGAAAAAAGTAGCGTGGCTGTTTTGAAGTAGAACAGCTCTCAGACAGTGTCATAGGCAGGTCAAACTGTTTAGCCTGCATCTGTTGAAACGTCAGCTGAGCATAGAGGTCTTCCCATTGGAGACATGTTGCTATACCGGACAGTTGACAGGGTCATACGCAGAGGAAATGTGTTGTCAGCGTTGATGAATTATTGTGTAAGTTACTTGTAAAAACCGATGTTTTAATGGTCACTTTCGTTTTATAGCCATTTGAATAGTATGCGTTTAACCTGCAACTTTTCTTTCATATCTACGGGATATTAAAATTATTTTTGTGACTTTCAGAGCATCAGGCAGTACTCTGACGGTAAAACAACGAAGGCATTGGATGGTAAAGTTGCGTTGGTGACTGGTGGTTCGCGTGGTATATCTAAAGGCATAGCACTGCAACTAGCCGAAGCTGGTGCTAAAGTTTATATTACTGGTCGTAAGCACCAAAATCACACTAAGACGCTACCTAGATTGGAGAATACAGCCGATGGTTAGTTTTATATGCTTGAAATTGCTGCAAACAGCACTCCTCTAAAGTGAGTAGTTATGGGGAACTTTAGCGCAGTAGACGCTTATCATTTTACTAAAAAGTTGCATGTAAACAATAGAAATTCAATTTTTTTTAACTCTTTAAGTATATTTTTTACTTACACAGAAATACGGAAAAGGGGTGGCGAGTGTGTAGTAGCCCACTGCGATCATTCAGAACCGAAACAGGTGGAAGAACTGTTCAGAAAGATAGCTTCTGAAAATGCTAGTACATTGGATATTCTTGTCAATTCGGCGTTCGCTGGCAACCCGGTAAAGTTAGTTGAAAAAAAAGAAAATATTATTTTTTTAGCAAGTCAAAATTTTTTGTGTAATTTTATTTGCATTTCTGATAGCTTTTAGAACAGCTTTTGTGGCTTTAGAGTATAGAAAGAAACGGTGGAAGAAAGTTTTATGAATGTGACCCCCTGTTTTGGGACGAGGTTAATAACGTGGGGCTTCGTAACGTTTATATTTGTTGCGTGTATGGCGGGCGCTTGATGGCTGCGAAACATCGTGGTGTTATAATTAACATAAGTTCTGCAGGAGCGATCCAGTATTTCTTTAACGTTCCATATGGTGTAGGTAAAGCTGCGGTGAGTAAAGATAATATTGCTAGTCAATTGGTCAGGTTCTTTCTTTTATTGTAAGTCTTCTAGTTATGTACCGGTAATTCTCATTTAGTATAAGCCTTCCACGTAATTCAGGTAGACCGCATGTCAGCAGATATTGCTTTTGAACTAAAGAATGTTGGGGTGACAGCTGTGTCTCTATGGCCCGGAACAGTCAAAACCGAAACATCAAAAGATTTGATTTATTCTGGAAAATTTACAGCGCTCACTGGAATCCCACAGGTTTGCTTTTAACTGACCTTAACTGACCCCTTTTTTGTTTGACTTTCAGATTAATGTATGAATATGATGACTTTGTTTGTTTCTTTTTTTTTTAAATAGCATTTCAGAAAATGGAGGTTTTATATTTTTTTTT